TGGAGACTCAGTGCTGGACCGGATCCGTCCTCCAGCACGATTGGGGCTAAAGCAAAAAGGTTACAGAACCACCATACTAAATTCAATAGAAGTATTTTGAATTCTGACTCGTTACATACCCGTACGCTGGACCCCGTTTCCAGCACTCATGAATAGAACAGAGCCATAAACAAATGCCTGCGCCAGCACGATTGGGAGTACGACTCGTTACACACCCAGACGCTGTACCATTATATAAATGCCTGCTCCAAATAGATGCTCCAATCGCCCCTCTCGTGGAAGTTCACTGACAAGTGCTCTTCTTAAACCACCACTGACTTTCCCCCTACATCACCCAGGGGCAGGGTCCCCACTCGTTCCGGAGGCCGAAACAAAACGGTTATCACCGACGGAATTCATCAACGGCAACCGAAGTTGGGCCCAGGCCCTAAAGAATATGGTCTAGTTCATATTCCTGCTTTCCCCAACAGCATGAAAGGTAGTGGTGGCTTAGACAAAGAACAGAAAAACGGTACTTCAGCCACCATTCCACTGATCCAAATATCTGCACAATTTCGATGGCATACTCCCAAAGAATATGGTATGGTATACTCCCAAAGAATATGGCATATTCCTGCTTTCCGCAAAGAATATGGTATGATTCACGCCGATAAAAAAGAAGACGTGCTAACACGCTGACAGTCTCAGTCCAGTACGCCGAGCCCCAAAGGTCACTGCACAGTTTCGATGGCATGAGAACAAAATGGCCGCATTCTACCATGCACTGGAAAAACACCGACCAGCATGGTAAAGTCTCCTTTCTCCTTCGCCTGGAGCCGTCAGCCACTTTCATTCTGAAGTCCGGGCCCAGAAGATCGCTGTGTTCAAGGCTGAAAAGGAAACAGATTCCGCGACTGTATTTATTGAATTGATTGTACTGGTATATAAGAGAAAGTCCTATCCTGGTGGTTTGATGCACCACTTGTGGACGTGATTTCCATACTCAGCAGCAGCATTCGACCTACACATCCACACTACCACAACGAGCTCCCTCCATAGAGGAAGGCCGCACTTGCAATCTACTGTTGGTTACGGCGGAGCCCCAGTGCAGCTTAAAATAGCATGACCACAAACACGCAGACACCTCCCTTTCTTGCCATCCTGTTCATGCCATTGCTCCTCATGATCGCCCAACAATTTTCTCTCTCTCTCTCTCTCTCTCTTGACATAACCAACTCTCCTCCTGCAAATCCCCCCACCAAATCTGACATACCCCGGCCCCCCACCTTGTGTTTCACATTCATTGTGCTGTGCTGCCAACACTCACACCCTCAAAGCAGCTCATCATCGAGTGTTTTGAATTCTGCCGGATCACTTTCAATGTAGCACGCGCATACAGGGTTGCTGAGATTTCGGGCTTTGTCCACATTTCAGGACTCCGAAAATGGCAAGCAGCTGCACAAACACCTACTGGACATTTTCCCAATGATTCCCCAACCATTTCTTTACCAATGCGTGTGTGCCCGGGGGAGGGTTGGGAGGACCTCCCCAACCAATCATTCAATCAATCAATCAATCAATCAATCAACCAACCAACCAATCAATCAATCAATAGATTTTACACGGTCCTGAAATTCCGAGCCGCATGACGTTTCAGAATTTCAGGGGAACCTACAACTTTTCCCTCCGTAGACCTAACCCAAGCAAAGCACACACGGTCAGGGCAGCCAAGGGGACCGAGGGGAATTTTTTTGTTGTACGTTCTTTTGCACCAGTACTTCCCAGAGTCGTGGCCGTTAACGCGCAACGATTTTAGGAAAGATACGGGCTACTGCAGGAGCGCTCGAATTCATCCGACTAGAAACGTTTCTACTTTTTTCCCGCGGCCGACAGCTGGGCCAAGTACTGGCAGTTTAAAGCACCAATACACCACACCTCGACCTGTGGGTGTCAGCATGAAACCGCACCAGGCTGCCAAATTCTTTTTTTAACGGAGCCACCGGCCACACGGCGCCTCGAGTTTTGCTTGTGGCAACAAAAACTTTCTGCAAGGCTAGAGCCATGTACTAGCACTTTAAAAACCCAGGCGTGTAGTCACTTTAAAATACACACAGGATTGATACTTGACACTGGCAGTTGTAGTTGAGCTGCCGCACATGTGCAATGGCACACAAATAGACTGCCTTTCTTCACTCCTCTGCAGGTCACAGCTACTTTGGCACTCCACAGATGCTTTGTGTGCGCAACCATTTTCCACTCCCTCTTTGACCCCTGCAGAACCATTCTCAATTGGCCATCCTCGAGTGTGGCACTGTTGCATTCATCTGCTGTGCAAGGAAGCCTTATTTGTGAGGGCACGGGTGAGCAGCCCACAGTTTCTCCGTTGATGTGTCCGACCGATTCTACAGCCACACAGATGCACGTGACCGAAATTGCATCCACATGGATGTTCAGAAGGCCCTACCAATCTGGAGCTCCTGCTGATTGACCTCTGAGGGTGCTGCCCCTGTCGTTGATCCACGACTCCATTGTCCACATACCTTTCATCTATGCCCAGATACCACACCAGATCAAGCATGCAATTGACTCGTCACGTGCAACAATGATTAGCATGAACAAATTGCAAGCGTTCTGTCAGAGCATCGTCAGCAAACAGCCTTGGATCGGCACCTGTGGCTGACATGCCCACCTTCACGAACCGATTCACAAGAGGAGCCATCCCCTGGCCGGATGATTGGATCGTCTAAGGCCTCCATAACCAGAGAAACAGTCAGAAACGAATAGGCTTTACGCGGTACATACAGCAAGGTGAACATTTACAAAGACCATACAGGACGACCAACTATTTGAGACAGCATATACCTCAGATACCCCACCCGCAGCAAAAGAAGAGAAAGATAACAACTCATCTAAGGACTACAGCGATCCGCGAGTGGGTGAGGCAGTCTGCAAAGAGTGATCTTGATCAATCGGGTAGGGATGCCAGTCTATTCAAACGGCACCAATACCTTTCCCAGCTATATTTCCAAGACTCGCCAGTATAACACGGGTGTCCTGCCCGGTTCCGTGCTACCAGACCTAAATGGCTGGTGGCGCCAGCCAAAACGAGTCGTGCACCGTTTGTTTTTTTCCCGACGTGCAGGGCAATTTTAGGCTCCGCATCAATAGCTAAGAAAGGTACTGATGGTTTAAACTGCACGACCTGGGTAAGCTGCAATTTAGTCACTGGCTGCTGTCCCCGTTAGGACATGGGGAGCAACAATTTACCTCCTCTCCGGAGGCATATTGCTCGAACCTGCTGAGGGAGTTTGACGAGCCCCCCAACCCTGTCAATTGCTGTAGTATAGAAAATCCCTTTTCTCTATTTCGCAGAATTACCCGAATTCTTAAGGGATACAGGCCCAGTCCAGTAGTGGAAGCCGGCTACTGGCCCCAGTACTCGTCTTTCAACTCGAAAGGTTGTTTGTACGGAATTCCCGGCCCGTTTTTCCGTCAACAAATAATAAAGGAGAGGGAAAAAGGTTCTCCAAAGAAAAGCGTGTACCTATTTCTTTGGAGACGAGTGAACTCAACTCCGAAGTTCAAACGGCAAATCCTCCGTTGCAGATCGTCCTTGTTCAAAGTCTTTGCTATACTGCACTTCTGGACTATACCTGGTTTATTACAGCCATTCTTATAAGGACACTGTGATTTGGGATCCCGTCATCCTTCCTGGAGAATTTCAGCAAACAAGAGGGGGGCATACAGGACCTTTGGACGGGTTGCAGAAACCACCAGAAGGTTGCGCCCAACATTTTGATCCTCTCCCCCAACATTCAGATTTTGAATAAACAAGAGGGACATACCGGACCCGGACAGCAAACACTTCCCCGGAAAACCACCTGTGAGGCTGTGAGTGTATTCAGTGTTTGCTAACCCCAACTCCACAGACAAGCCATGACTGTGTCAACACAAGAAAAGCATGAACAGTACTCATGCCCCCCTACATGAGCGTTGCGATTTCATTTCACATTGTTGTTTCAAAAAATCACAAGAAAGTACCGACACCAGATCCAACCAAGATGCACAGGGTTGGGCCCCCACAGTTAAAGAGATATGCAAGCGGTGGGGCCCACACAGTTATCTGCCTGAAAGGCATACTCGTACGCCATTGGAAGGCAGGGGTGGGCAGGGAAGAACAAACCTGCACCAGACATGGAAATGTACAAATCAGTACAAATTAAGAAAAAGTGGCCAAAACAAAATCACTGTCCAGCCATGCTAACAGCAGTGGCCACAACTATTCGCTCAAAGGAGTCTCGCCATAGCTGGCAGCAGCTCACCCGTCCATCACAACTCGAATTAATCCTCGCACCATCAGTATCTCCCAAAGAGAAGACACCAGCAATGGCACTGAATACAGCCCCATAGAGACCCCCTCTTCCATGTGCAATTCGAGCATCAGCTGCTGGGAATGATATCCACAGCGAATACTACATAATAACACTCAAGTCAGCACCCAATTCTCAACCGGGTTAGAACTCGGTAAGCTTCCACACACTGACTTCTTCCCCTCCAATTCCAACAAAAGACCGCCACCTGGCTTGAACAGCTCCAACAAAAGACCCCCACCTGGCTTGAAGATAGCCAACTTCCCCACACTGACTCCCTTTTCCCCCATTCCAGTTCCAATCCCCCACACCCATTTTCCCCCATTCCACTTCCGATCCCCCATCCCTTGGCCACCATCACATTCCCAATCCCCAATCCCCCAACCCCTGTCTACCATCACATTACTGCCTTCCCTCATCCTTTTTTCACATTATTTTTGCCTTCCCTGACTTCCTTCCCCCATTCCACTTAACCGTGCTGTCAATAGATGTGCTGAAATTTTCGTGTGATGCTCACAAACAGTGGCATACATTTGCAACATCCGACAACCAATAGCGCGCATCCACAAATTGGAAAACCTAGCCTGAGTACACAACAGAAGCGTGCAGACTCACCCACATACCTTAGTTTTCAATGTTTTTTGCGTAAGTACAACACAGAGCTTTTCATTATTATTATTATTTTTTCTGTGTAGAGGACCATGTTCCAATTCCACCATGTTCGGCGCGCAAGCCAACCATCCAACCCTTTTACCAGAACCACCATTCACCAAGAAGACATCCCTTCTTCCCACACGTTACGTTGCCATAGAAAAGAGCCCAAGCATTGAAAAACTGTAATTGGTTCTCATTTCCACATCCAGCTTCTCTCCAAAATGTACAAATGCCTCCATGCTCTCGTATGGCCAGAAAAAAAGGAAACAGAGGGGGAACACAAGCATCTCTCTTACGCCTACAGCACTCCTAACCACCACCACCGCCACCACGTCCACCGCATATCTATGCCGTGCTTTGTATAATGACCCTGCTCCCTGTAGTAACCCTCAAAATGGGGAAAGGAAACCTCTTTCACTGTTTCAGACTAATTTCCCCCACTGCGATGCCCTACCTCACCATCTCCACCCATGCCTCCGCCAGCACCACATTGCTGTGCCACATTCCCACAACTGTGAACACACAGGCAAGTCAGCATCGGGATGGGGACGAGGATGTTTACACTCTCCCGTCCCATCCCGCATCTGCCACTCGGCGACCCATTTGACCATATATACCCATTCAACAGCAAAATAGCTTTTGCAGCAGAGGCGCTGACCTGACTGTTTAGGAATGAAAGCAGTCAGCGCAACAAAGGTACTGGCTATGGCCTCTCTTCTCCATGATGTGGGAAGTTACAAATTGCTCCAAGCTGAACACAAACACAGATCTTCGCGGCCAGCTACGCTCTACCTTGAGCCCCCACCTCTCTTGATACAGAGAAGGATATTTTGCTTTCATCCTCTGCTTGAATTTGTTGCACTTTAAGAATCGACACCGCCCCACAAGAACAAAACCAAAATTGCGAAGGCTACCTGAGGAAGACGGAAAATGGGGAAAAAAAGGAGTTCCAAGGGAAGACCCTGAAGAGAAAAAAAAACAAAAAAAAAACTACCCCTCTTCCCGAACTGAAGATGTTCCCGGCACGAATGCCATCACCCATCCATTTGTCCAGAAAGAAACTCATGCTCATCACTCAATCATGACCTGCCTTACCAAAATAAACATAAAAAGGCTCCGCCGCTTCAACTATCCTCCTCGTGCTTTAGATCATGATCTGTATTTTCAACTTCGTCCGATCCAGCTCCTGCTGCGCCCGACCGACTCTTATCCCCGTCTTCAGCATTCTTGTCCTGATTACCATCTTTACCTTCCTTCGCCGCAGCTGTTGCAAGTGCAACAGCCTCACCTGGTGGCGGATGATCGAACTTGCACTGGACACCATACTTGCAGGTTGCTGTTTTCATGTAATATGCACAGGCAGTCTCTCCCTGTTGGAAATAACAAGAGAACAATAATTAGGAGATTCAGCATGCACAACTGCAAACAGAGAAAGGGAGAAGAGGTCTCCCTAACTTCTCTTGTTAAACAATCCGATGTCACCTAAGCCACCTTCCTGAAGCATTTCGTCGCCTGAAGCATTTCCTTGCCTTCTGGTTACAAGTGGTTAATAGGGACTGACCTTTGTTTTTTTTTTTTTTTTTTATAAACAGAACCCAAGTAACTGCTAGAGGTGCTGATAAGAGCAGACACCACTAGCAGGCTCGGGGAGGCTCCTGTTTTGTTATAATTATATGACAAATTGCCTGAAATTTTGGGATGGCATCCGTTAACCATATCTCCTCCAGGTGCAGCTTTTCACAGTGGCCTGCCGCTCTTGCTACAGGCCCGGGCCCTGGGCCAAATCGAAATGCTCAGCACATCAACCGATAATTCCGTTCAACTGGTAATTCGGTCACATTAATAGAGATGAAGTCGAAGGAAAAAGAACACAGTTCTCGGTGTTATAAATTAAATACAAGGGTGCAGCACAATCAGATCGACAACATAATTCATAAACATCCCCTGTTGGTGCAGCTGGAAAGAACAAAGATGCAGAGAATAATGCTTTCCTCGTCTTTTTTTTTGTTTTTTTGAATACGTTTTTTTACAGTTGTACAAAATGTGCTTTTTATAGTTCTTCGAAAGCAAGGATAATGCAGGCACAAATGTCCTGTGTTATAAGTTTACGAAGATGCTACACTTTTCTGTTACAAATAATAGATTTCATGCTTTCCATCACAGAGAAGACAAGGGTTGGACAAACATGTACTCCACAAAGCAAGGAGGACGCGAGCAAAGGAAGCCAATGACAACCCAGAAGAAAGAAAACAATAAATACATATCCCCATGGCACAAAGAGGAGAATTGTTGGGCCAACATGTAATTCCCATTTCTTTTCTGTGCGTTTGAACGTCACCTCTCCCTCGCTTCGCCTGATGAACAACGTCCACTCCTCTCCTTCCACTCCACGTCCTCAACCCCCCATATGCTCTGCGCTACACTCCTCTTCCTTTCCATTCCCTCTCTACCTACAAATCGTCATGGCACAACCCCCAACATTGCACCTTTCCCTCTCGACTGCCAGGGCTTGCCCAAATAGCCGCATCGGGGCTTGCCCAAATTGTTGCATCGCCCTCCTCTGATTGCCCAACCGACCTTACCAACCCTCTGTGCCCCCGACTCCAGTTTCTCTTCCGTCCCCGTCCTCTCCATAACCCTCCCTCTAACCCTTGCCATGCACGTCCACCCCTACCCACCTCTCACTTCAGTGTCCGTGTCACCTTCTTGGTCTTCCCTCTCTCCGATTTATATAATCAAACCCCACAAATTCTCAGCAACCTTCTTAATTCACATCATTACCCCAACAATACCCTATGGCACTGCCTTACTTTTCATCCCCTTCCCTGCCACCCATTTGCATTCCCCTTCCCATTGTAGCCTCGACCTCCGCGAGTGTCCCCATAACCTCTTATCTGCCTGCCTGCTGCGTGTGGATCCTCCCCACCCCTGCCTCTCCATTACCCCCACAATCTCCCCGAGCCTCCCACATGGCTGGCCTCGCCTTCCTCTCTATCCCTTTCATCTACCCAAACCCTACCAATGCTCAGCACCCTCTAACTTCTATTGATGAAAATGCCTGCGCACTCAACATTGCCCTTTCACAATTCAGTCCTAGCATAATCAACAAAAGAAACAGGCTTCGTTTTAATGGCACTCACCGGTCTCCTTGGCAAGCCTGCCTTGGTGAGCTTCACCCCCGGAGGAGGGGCGATAGGCAGTGCCACGGGTTGCACCGCTCCCTTTCTTGGGTGATGGAATTTGCAGGAGGCACCAAATTTGCATTCACCATTTCTAAGGAAGAACTGCAGTGAAACACCAACAACCAATCGCACAAAAGGCCTCGAGGTCATCCACACAATCGAGGACAAAAAAGGAATTCGCACATTCCGTCCAACAGGATACATACAACAGGTTTGCTCCTCAGAATGGTAGGAGCCAGAGCTGAGAAGCTCTGTTTAAAAAAAAAGAAAAAGAAAAAGAAAAAAAGGATACATAGAACAGGTAACAAGAACTCTCCTATGTCATAGAACGACCACAAGTTCATCTGAAAACAATGCAAAGTTTCACATCTGCATGACCAAAACATCAGCAAGAGCTTCCTGATGTAAAAGGGACTTCCATGCCTTCGGCAAGAAAACATCACAATAATAACATGGAGCCAACATCTGTTTTCTTTTATTCCAGCAAGTGAAGCAGAGCCGCAGGGGATTCCCGCAGCCGAGTGTCCAGGGGTCACAAGGGAGGTGGGCAGTAAAGCGAGGAGCAGGTAGACTGGGTTGTACCATGAGGGCGGAGTTGTGTTATGCAGAGGTGAAATGAAGTGTGGGTTGGGTGGTAGATCGAGGACCGGTCATAATATGTGGACCCACATGGGGTGGGACTACCAGCGGATTGTGTTGCACGACGCAAGATGCGGGTGGCGAGTAGTATGCAGTGCGGAGAGTGATATGTGGGAAGGGTGGTGTAATGCGTCATGGGTTACACTACCTGCATCCAGCATGCTATGCACTTGTACTCGAATCTCCTCTGTACACTGTGCACCTGCTATGGACTTGTATTCGAACCTCGGCCATACAATGCAGACATGTTATGCACATGCTACGGGCCTTCTGTGGGGTTCCACTATGTGCCCTATGCACTTGTGATGGGCCTGCCGTGGGGTCCTATGGGCTCTATGCACTTCGTGGGTCCTGCTATGCCCGCCCAACTTGTCCTGCTATGGGACCACCATTTCTCCTGCCATCCTGCTATCCTGCTATGGGACTTCGCTTTGTCCAGCTAAGGGACGACAATTGGTCCTGCGTTGGCCCCCTGACATGTCCTGCTATGGGCCTGGTATGCATTCGTATTCGAATATCAGTTAGAAGGCTATAAATCGAGACTCCTAAAATAAACAAAACAGCCCTCATGTGAGTGAGACCTAAGAAATATCGCCTGGAGATTATTGCGGAGAGATAGATCCACTCGGGGGAGTAAAGGGGGTTAAATGCATGTAATGTATTCCAATATCAGTCAGAAGGCTACAAATTGAGCCTCCGGAAATAAGCAAAACAGTCCTGTGAGTGTGACTTAAGAAATATCGCCTGGAGATGATTGTGGAGAGATGGATCCACTCGGGGGAGTAAAGGGGGTCAAATGCATGTAACATATGGATGTATGAGGTTATTCTCTCTCTTATATGTATCTGACAGATCTGATCCCATTTACAATCCGCACGGGATGCATCTCTCCGCAATTACATCCAGAATCTCCAGAAATAAGTGGCACACACCTCGTGTGAATATTCTGCACGTGTCTCTGGGCAGCCTTGCTACGTACTTAATAATTTCAAACGTGAGGCATAAGCCATACGCCCAAACGACAATTCGGGCCTGCGATCACTGCCGCCCCTCCAAAATGACACGAAAACCGCATTCAAAAAGGACAAAAGCCAAAATGGCAATTTGGGACCACGTGCAGTACGTACAGTAGGCAGCCCCAAAACGGAAGAATCCTGCTCGCTCGAAAGAGGGGAAAAAAGAACTCTCCCCTCTCAATCCCCCCCAACGAGTGTACCATAAAATATGACTCGCCTACACCATATTCTGGGTACGAAGAAACAAAACGCTGCATGTCGAACAAAACCGGCACACAGGACTCCTTTTTACAGGGTCCATTGCAATGCAACATGTCGGGCCCACTTTTTTCTTCAAGTCTTATATGGATATGGAAGAAACGGCGGCTACTTGGCGTATCGTCATCGAAATGACTGGCCCAGTTAAATTCAAAGTTCTACTCATCTGATTCCTGCAGGATTTGAACTTATTCGTTTCATTAACAGTGCTTCAGGACATACCAAGAAATTCGAACAATGCAGAGGCAATTAGAATGCCACCTTGTGCAAGGATGATACCAAAAAAAAAAAAGAAAATAAACGTCTCTTCATCAACAGTTCATTGGTCTACAATTCAGCGACATGGGCTCTGAGTACGTCACCAACATCCTTAACTTTCCAGAGTCAAAACCCTCGTTCCAAGAAACAGCCGCCATATCCCACCAGTCAGACGAAAACAAATACGCAAAGATGTTCAGCCGCCATATCCCACCAGTGACACGTCAATCAGTAGTCAACACGTTCAGCAAGGTTTGACTGAAAGCCAAGGCAGACGAAAATAAATACGCAACCAGCCCAAAACTAGCGTCAACACCCAACCAAGGACCCAACGGTTGTGGAGTCTTATAGAAAATAAGACCGGACACATACCAAAATACGCACACAAGAAAACCACAGAAGGAGAAAGAGATAAAACACAAACAAAACGGAAAATAAAGACTCGGGTTCATACCTGGCACTCAGGCTGGCCTGGCCTTTCCGGATATGATGCCGCAACTGCAGGAGCCCCTCCATATGACAGCCCAAGACCACCTTGTGGATTCATTGGTAGTTCCACCCCCAGCATACCTTGCTGGAAACCGAAGAAACAACATAACAACGTGGCAAAATTAACACGCACATGAGTTGATGCAGTCAAATGGATGACCATAAACCACCAGTACATGGCCCCAGGCAACTGGAGAACCTGTTTTCAGCCTCTCCGGAAACTTAGGAGGCCGAGCACCGTAGACAAAATGAATCGGCGGTGGGCAGCCTCTGAAAGGGGCCCATGGCCGATGGCTGTCATGTACTGGTGGTTCAACAAGTGCATAGGGAAAATACGATAGACAGCTAATTGACCTAAAAAATGACTACTCACACGACCCCCCTCTCTCTCTCTCTCTCTCTCTCTCCATCACCTCTCTCTCTCTCTCTCTCTATCACACACACACACACAAATCTTACCAGACTAATCTTGTAACACTGATTGATGACAGAGCCGGAAACCCCTCTTCCCTTCCCTCTCTCACAAACATACATTTAGAGATCGTCTTCTTCTTCAGAAATTACGGCACATCCACAGCCGGAGCGAAGGAAGGCAAGTGAAGGGATATCCCTTGTTCTAACCTACCGTAGGCATGGCAATTGGTCCCTGTGGACCCCAAGTACTCGAAATCAGCTGCGGGTGCTGTGAGGCTGCCATGATAGCACCACCTGCGGGCCATGTGCTCGACTGGGTGATCCCCGACCGAACATTGAAGTCTTCAAGCCCTGCCCACATATTGCAAGGAGAGGATCATGTACAGGACAGCACCACCGAACAAAAAATAAACAAGAGTCAGACAAGATCTCCAGCCAGTCAAACCAGACAACATGCGGAACACTTCACTCACTCTTATTGCCTAAATGTCCTCGAGCAACCACACATACAGACCTGATAACAGGTCAAATCAGACAACATGCGGAGCACTTCACTGCCTCTTATTGCCTAAATGTCCTCGAGCAACCACACATACAGACCTGATACAGACCTGATAACAGTGGAAGATGATCTGAAACATCCACGACATCGGTACCATCTCTTCCTTCCCCGTTGTGAAAGATATCAACATTGATGATGGTAAGAACAATCGGTGAACCATATGCAGAAAGAGAGAAAAGCACAAAGAACAGGGCAGAGGACAGACAGTCTCATCAGAGTTTCACCGACTATCGTCTTCACCCGAATAGAACGCCCAGTCATTAGACCTGTATTTGGGCCAACTTCCAGTCCAAATACAGCGATAAATACCAGGCAGAAGACGATAGTAGTTCTCAAAGTCGAGAGCAAGCGCATGGCCTGGCTAACCTACCTGAACTTTTATAGTACTGCATAAGGTATGGCTCTAGATTGGAGGACGTGTTCCAGCTCGAATCCCCATCAAGGCACGAATGAGCTACACGAGAGAAGTTCACGCCATTGTTTAACACAGTCAAGATCTGTAAGGCAAAACAATAACAAGAAACTTATACAGCAGCGGTTCTTGTGGGCTGCGTTAAAACACTTGCCGAGTGACTGTTAAGTGGATGCAGTTCCAATGAACCATCACTATTTTATAGGCGGCTATGTCCTGTGACTGGGCACGCCAATCGGGCGTACTGTTGCTTCAAGGGGCAAAGAAAGATGTACTCGCTGCCTTGCAGGAGTGACAAAACTAAACCCAGGAAATTTGACGGTGCAGATATACCACTCATAAAGAGTACGCAGACAAAACCAGTGGTCAGGTACATGACCTGCATTCCAACAAAACACGCAGCCTCAAAGCATAGCTGGACAAAACCTGAACAAAGCCACCTGCATTATAACAGAGGAGGTTTGCAATTTTGTGCAGTCGTATTGTCTTTTTATAAATTCACTCACCCGATGGTGCTACTTCCGGATGATTGAATTTACATACCGCTCCATATTTGCAGCTGCAGCACAGTACAGCACAAACGATATGGCATGCATTCCCGTGAATATACCAACACTGCAGCCAGCAATTCAAAACCTACCAAGGAGACGGAGACTATTCTTTTTCAGAAACCACCACATCAAAACACCAAAGAACACACGCCTACGGGACACCAAGTGCAATAATGTCGCAGCAAAACACTTGCAAAATAGACCTCTCAATGTCCCTGCTAATGTTGAGCACACAAGCATACAAGAGCAGTGAAGAGGAGGACGAGGGCAACCGCCCATGGAAATTAATCATCAGGGGCAGCAAATGGTTTCATGGATCCAGCACAGGACTTAGAGAGAGAGCCATCCGGAATGACGGAGAAAGTAACTGCATGGTTGCGAAGGAGTTTCAGACCTACCTTAGACAGCGGCACCACAGAGACCAAAACCCGCAGATGATAAAAGGCAGCATTCCGTGTAGTTGGAAATAATAACTCTCATGGAAACCAGGCGAGAGGGGGTGTTGATGCAGGAAACAACCCCTAAAGTGCTTACTCACCGGTCTCCAATCGACAAGGGATGCTACTCGCTGTGCTCACCTCCACCCCTATCAATATGAGCAAGACGTAGATCCAGAGAAAGTAGTTCCGAATTCGTTTGCATTGGCTCTAATTAAGAGTTCCCGGACTCTAGAAAAAAAAAAAAGACACGATCTTCCAAATGCAGATGGCTATCCAAGAACTGGACTTCAATGCTGCAGAATGGTCCTAGCATCCCGATAAAAATCAAACTAACAAAAACACCACTGCAATCTCTCTGAGTGCACAGTCCAGTTGAGGTATCAGATGCTGCTCAAGACAAAAAGTGCAGAACCAGCAAGGCCTAGAATCAGACCACATCACCAAAATCACGTTGACAAAGTTCAGATCAGCAAGGCCTATAAAAATCCAAAGCATGCATTGGCTCATAGCTTATGCTGCTCTGCCAGTAAGCTAGCTATTGGCAGCAGCACGTCAAAGAAGTCAGTCAGTGGAAGGTCCAGTCAGTCCCAGTCCGGTCCAGCAAGTACCACAGGGGGACTGTGAGCACCAAGGGCCGATGGCAAAGGGCAGACCAACGAGTTTCTGAAGTATAAATCAAGAGGCAGCGCCCAGCCATTCATTTTCATTCCTGCGGGAGCCATGCGGAAGCGCTGCCACAGCGCCTTGTGCAAGGAGGTCTGCAGATGAGCCCGGAGGTCGCAGTGGGCAGAGAGGAGGAGTTAGTTAGCGATAGCTTAGAGGCAGCCATAGCTGCCATAGCACTGTTGTTAGTAGAGAGTGTGTGTGTGTCGAGTGTTCAGAGTGATGCGTGTGGGATATCCAGGGTGATCCAGTGTATGTGAACAGTGAGATGTTTGGGCGCTGAAGTCGCCACAACCAATTGAGAGCGAACTCGTAACTGAAAGCCATATCTCTGAGTTTTGAGTGGGCGCATGTCGCCAGTATGCTGCGTTGCTGTTTACATGCATGAAAAGTGTGTTTGAAAACGAGTCTGATTGCAGGTCCATTTCAGCAAGCCAGAAAAAGGTTTGTGACATGCTTGCCATGCATCACGTGCACAGCAGTCGCACATGTGGTGCACTGCCCATTGCGCGCATGGTGAGTTTACACACATCTGGCAAACTGCGCATTGCACACGTGAGAAAAAATCGGGGTCCTTTGTCAGCAAGCCAGAAAAACGTTTTTGACATCTTCGGGGCTGCGCCAAGGCCCGAATTGTTTTTTGAGGGAGTGCCTCCCAGCTTCGAATTCAACTTCGCTCGAACTAGGCGAGGCCTATATCCCACCTCAGCACGGCCCGTGGTCGTCATTCCATCGCGCAATTGCCGTTGGAGCCTCCCCGGTTCACACCTTCATGATGGCCATTCCACATTCAGGCTCCATAGCTGCACAGTTGTCGTGCAGCCGGCAAGCAGGAGCAGGCAGCGGATGCAGGCTTCAGGCAGCGGCAGCAGGAGCTGCAGGAGACGAGGAGGCTGCAGCCATTCAGGTGGGTGACCGCCAGCCTTCCTCTCTCACGCTCTCTCTCTCTGAACAGCTCCATTAGCCATTACCCCATCCCTGGACTTACCTCCAATCCTCCACCCACCTCACGTCGCCATTCCAAAACAGAAATTCGTTTTTTTTCGACCTTTGTCCTTCCGAGCATAAGTCCACGTCCTTGCCTCCGATCCCCTTCCTCCGTCCTCTGTGCATCCATACCCCATTCGATCTTCCACCTTGCTCCTTCCACCTTCCATCTTCCATCTACCACCCCCCTGCCTTTTCCATCTACCCCTTCAGCCACTTCTCCATCCTCCTCCCTTCCATTTATCCACTCGCCAATCCTCCATCCCCCATCCTCCTTTCTCCTATTCTTCCTTCCACCGTCCTCCATCCCGCCATGCGCCATCCGCCATCCCATAGGCAATTCCATCTTCATCCAGGCTCCTTCATCCTTCCTCCTTCCTCCCTTTCCCTCCACCCTACCTCCTCCCTTCATCTTTCCCTCTTCCATACCCCATCCCTCCATCCGCCATACCTCCATCTATCATCCAGCAATATTTTCCCTTCACCCCTTCATCAGACATATCCTCAGCCTCCTTCCTCCTTCCTCCTTCCGCCTTCCTTCTACCTCCTCCGTCCTTCCTCCTTCCTTACTCCTTCCTCCATCTTTCCCTCTTCCGTACCCCATTCCTCCATCCGCCATGCCTCCATCCACCATTCCTTCATCCCACATTCCTCCATCCCCCTTCCCTCCCCCAACATTTTCCCTCCACCCCTTCATTCGACATATCTCCATCCAGGACAAAGGAGGGATGAGGAAGGAGCAAGGACGAAAGAGGAATGGCTGATGGAATGACAAATGGGGGGGGAAAGGACGGCTCAAGGTGAAAGCAGATGTGGAATGTAGGATGAAGGATTTCGGAATGGAGGGGAAGCATAGGGTGTGGGCTGACCTGCTGCCTGCACAAGCTTACCATGTCTTGCTGCCATGTTTTCGTAGGTTGAAATGACCAACGTCCCGGTGGGCACAAAAAACTCACGTGACAATGTCTGGTCAGCTACCAGGGGAATGATTGAAGCAGAAATTGTGTGTCGACTGGACGGAAGGCAATCCATTAGCCCAGAGCTATCTGGACGCAGAACAGGAATTACTGCCTGAATTCAAGCAGGTTGTGCGAACAAAGCGCAAGGTGGCTTATCTCCACAGTCTTAATCCGAAATGAAATGACTGACGCAACTCCGAGACGACAGTCACATATTGGAATACCCAAAGACAAGAAAGGGAAAAAGGAACAGTGAAACCACCCGTACACCCATGGCTGAAGTTGCAGGCTAGCGCAGGCCAAGCTTTTCCAAACCACCATCAGCGCACTTCGTTCCTTTTTTGGCTGGCGCCGGATGGCGCCCCCAGCCATTGTGGTCCGGTAGCCCCAACCCCGAGAAGTCCGCAGCTGGCAACTTACAATTTTCTGCAGCGCTGGTGCCATGAGTACTGGCAGTTTAAGAGGAGATGCCTAAAATACAAGGGGTGATGTGACACAAAAACAGTGTCCCACTCTCAGATCTACGAAGCTAGGTTACTGGCCTCTCCCTTTCTCTCACTGGGGTAGATGCATCCAATCAGCATCCCATACCAGATTGAAATACAACCCGCATAGGGCAAACTGCAGGCAGCCAACCCCTAGAGCAACTACAACAGCCGCAGTGTCAGCTCCTGCAAATGGCATGTCGCTCTTCAGTGCTGCAGCAATAATCCTGATGACGACAGCAACTTTCAAATTAAAAAGACCGGTGCAAAACCTCTCGACTTACCTTCCAGTCTTCATGTAAAATGAGCAGTCAGTTTCGCCCTGCAAAAAACGATCAGGAAAATGATCCACACGCGACAGCCGAGCACACAAGCACAATACAAACTAACAGTGAACAAAAACTCATATCATGCATAAGTAATGCAGTGCAAGATAACAAGACTGTGCCACCACAGAGCCACAAACACATAAGCGCTTAACAACTAACAATGAATTGTCGAATTTCTGAGCACCAAAGACACAATCCCACAGCAAATATAATGAAACAGAGCACTCTCCAACTCCATACCCTGATTTGGTCCACAAACACATTTAACACCCCACACCCACTCCTCTTCCCAGTAGCAAATAGCTCTTCTCTAATAATCAAAACAAATGTGCACACATTCCTGCAGACATCTGTATCACATCCGTCTGCTAACCTAGCTGAGGTGGTCATTGGCCCATCAGTTTGCATGGTTAATCAGATGCAATGGTCCACGAAAATACGAACTGCTGTTGAGATCCTCCCCAATAATGTCTGAACTGCAACTCTGAATCACGTCCTCCGCACCTCTCTCTCTCTCTCTCTCTCTCTCTCTCTCTCTCTCCCTCCCTCCCTCCCTCCCTCCCTCTCTCCCTCGCTCTCCCCCAGGCACCGTTCCATGATGAGGATGCAGGAGACTCCCAGAGCTGACGTATTTGACTGCAACCTCCCCCTCCCCCCAACTCTCCCCATCCTCTCTCTCTCTCTCTCTCTCGCACACACACACACACAGGGAAGCAGTTCCTGAATCACAAGGGAAAGGGTACGCTTGCCCTGTCCGCACTCCTGCCTGTGTGCTTGATAAGGAACCCCCCACAAATTGAAGTTTACAGCGCACCTCCACACTCTTAAATTGGAAGGGGACATAATGGACATTCTGCTACCACTGCCCAAAGCACACGCTCCTTCCCCATGCACCTCAGAAGAGTTACCTTCTGCGGGAGGAAAGGGCAATCTAATCCACCAACCAATCCCACATGGAGATTGTTAGAGACAATGGACTACAGAAGAACAACTTGGTTGCTTGCTCATAACCTCTTACCGGGCGGATGGGAAGTCCCTTACTGCTGAGCGCTGCGGGTTTTCCATATAACCCACGATCCTTGCCCATGACTCCATTTCTGGAGGATCCATTTGCTATTGCATTGAACTTCCCAGAATCCTTATCCTTTCCGGTTGATGCAGAGCCTGGCGGGGGAGTTTCATTTGTCCTCGCTTTCCCTGACCTTTCTTTCGGGTGATGAAACTTGCACGTTATTCCAAACTTGCATTCCCCATTCCTCATATAGAACTGCAAAAAGCGAGCACCGGGGCATGAAGCAAAAACGATGTAGAAGTCAGCTCTCTTCTTCCTAGCCAAGTGAATGACCTGAAAAGAACTTCGACATACATCAAGAATGAAAGTAAGGCCGTTCAAACACCACATTGTATACAAGACCCCTAACAACCATACACAAGTTAAACAAGGGCCATTTTTTCATTTCTTTCAATGTCTTCTTTACATCAGTTGGGATTCTCTTCACCAATTATCTTCATGACATCAGCTGGGATTAAAGGTTTGTTTGTCTAGAGGCATAAAAAGAGATCCAAGGTTTTTTAAAAGTCGGGGAAACCTCACATAGACGACCGCAGAGCACAATTCTTGCACTTCAAAAAGTCACGCAACCTTACCAGAATCGCATCATACAACGGGGTGTTCCACCTCCACTTGCTCAATTGTACAACCACATATGCCAAGACTCCATCTTGACACTTATGGAGATGACACTAATGACTATTTCAACCATCCCATCCGCCCTCGGCCATTCTCTCTTCTTGAATTCCACACTGCCGCAAACAGGACACCAGATCCCAACTTGAGAGTGTCTATGATCAATTCCCATACGTGAAAGTCCAATGACTGCTCTATGGAGCAACTCTGGTGCATATATAGGCGTGCACACCACCTGAAGTAGTTCTGAAGTGCACTCCACACCATCATGTACAGCACCACAAAAACAGAGTAAGAGTAGATGTACTCACAGCACACTCAGCCTCCCCAGGCCTCTCCGGATAAGGTGTATCGCTCCCTCCAGTGCCACTTGTATTCTGCACAGCCAAAGCACAGAAGCAGAATTTTGAAGTGAACAGACGAGGGGGAAAACTACTGTGCTCAGTCACACAAGGGGCACGTGAATGGGATCCACAGACAAACAATCGCAGAGAGATTAAATACTCGCCTTCTTCCATTCATCAAGGATTCCTGTGAAATCAATCTTTTTTCTTCTTGATTCCAATCTCTCACCTCAAAAACACGAGGGGGAGAGAAGAACACAATGGGCTGACAGCAGAGGGGGTAGTGAATACCGTCTTCCCATGCAGACATTCTCAAGAGAATATTGGCAGAAACATTTGACGAGGACAATGGGAGCAGCACACGGTTCTTGCCTGTGACAACAACGCCTCTTGCCATGAATATAACAGAAATGCTATGAGCGCTACCATGGTCATGATGCTTGCGTTCACCACAAACATGCAGAAACAAGACAGCCATATTCAAGCCCATCCCAGCAGACTGGTAGAGGCAACGAAAATACAGAAAAGAACACTTCACACAACGTGGGATTCCAAGTACGACCTCCATTTTTGAGATTCTGCTCCTCAAAATTGCACCTCTGCATAACCCTCCCCTTCAAAGACGCAAAAACCCTTCTTCTTGGAGCTATAACCGAACGGCCTGCGTGACCATCCTCCTAATGATCTGACATGATAAAACACTTGCTTGAGAGGTAGCCAGCTCAGATTCACAATAAGCTTCAACTGCTTATCCACCGACATATCCCTGCCACGTGCCAGTATTTGGAGAGAGGCATCATAGCATCATGTTTGCGGCCTCGTATGAAATGGTACAAACTGCAATGTTCGTAATTGAATTGAGACTGTGACACCCGCTCACATACAGGAATCAGGGATGAAAAACACCGTGCACACCGGATGAAAATGGTGGTGACCAAACTACTCTTTCAACCACTCGCATTCCACACAGCCCTTCTGGAGACTTCCTCAACGAAGACAAAGCCACCCAGTTCTTCCGATCACACTCATTCCGTTCTGCACTGGCTCTCAAACCTAACTGCCACCTGTTCATATAGGAAGACAAAAAACAGGTGACTCTGGCATGACCTGCAGAAACACCTCTGCCAAAAGACCAAAACGGCTGTGGATAAGGCTTGCCTACTGAAAGGTACTTGGCACACCACTAGTCAAGCAAATGCAGCAGACTGTTCAGCCGGACCCCTGTCATGCATGGGCTTGGGGACAAGCCATTGAGAGTGAGTTCTCTCTAATAAATTCCCAGATAGGTGGTGGCAGAGAGAGGTGCGGTATAATTGACATATATACACACCTCAGTCTTCGGGGAACAAATTCAAATTCAACGCACCAGACTGAGTCTTCGGGGAACAAATTCAAATTCGACGCACCAGAGGTGACTTCGGTGGGCATTTCAGACCAGTCGACCTGGACACAAAAGTTGTGCCTGGGTTGATGGACGGCCACGAGAAGTGAAAATAATTGAAAGACCGGTCCCTCATTACTACTACGAAAAGAAACGTATACGCATGTGGTCCCATATTCTGGAAAGAATGCTGAGACTTCTGTCTGTTGGGAAAAACGTTGTTGGACAGAGATTTGTGATATTCATGAACAGTAAAAAGAGAGACGGAAATTCAACGCACAAAAGTAATAAACCCATAAATTGCCATTACGGAGGACAAGCGATAAGCCCCACTGGCGTGGCTATAGCCTGAGAGAACCTGCCTACTTCATCCCAGTAAGGTTAATTAGAGATGTCACCAAGAGACCGATCACTTGTCAAGGTTCGGCCCAGGTAATAAAAGCAGATGTTCTGGATCTTTTGCGATAATGATAAATGAACATCCGATACCGAGATCGCATCCACTTTCCCTTGTACAACTTCGGTTTCAGACAACAAGCTGCATCGGCCCGTGAACTGCCACTTCACTGTAGAAAATAAGAGACAATAGCCCAGTCAGAGGGACGAAACTGAAAATGCTAGACGTTTGGTTGAATAGATAGTCAATCAATCATCAATAAGGCAACTTCGCAGGAAGTAATGCTGCAGAGTTCGACGGAAGATCAAGGAACAATAAGTAGAGGATGGGAACGAGCATATATAGTGCTAGACAATGCACATAATGGACAACAAAAGCTCACCTCTTTCCAACCGGGGACACCACCAGACGGCACCCAGAGAGGGTGATCAAATCGACAGCTTGCGCCATAACTGCAGTTACCATGTTTCATAAAATATGCACACTCCTTCTCGCCGGGCCTCTGTGGATACGGGGGCTGCGGACCGCCCAATCCCTCCCCACCAGGCCTCGCCTTCTTTGCCAACATACTGACAGAGCCCAAACCTTTTAAGTACGGAGCACAATAGAAAAGGAAATAGAATGCATAAACCCATGTTTCAAAGGCGTATATAAGAACGATCTTTCTATAAATGAATGAAGTCCTTAATAGAGCGAAACCTCATCCAACACTAGCATGTATGTGCCAACAGGAATGAATGCCACCCTTCCCCCCCCCGTCCAAAAAAAAGGCCACAGTATAGCCCATACAAATTAAGAATAATGATTAGACTAGAGCTACAATCTCATGAAAGAAACATAATTTACATCAAAGCCACTCTCGGCATTGCACAAGTAAATCCGCTTGCCATCCATTATCAGCAGCACCAAGTCCTCTTGTACAATAACACAAGTGCCATATTCCTTTTTCAATACTGTTGCATAAAGCTCACTTTGGCATCACCATGTCCACAGCATGGCAGCAACCCCACTCTACTTCAGAACATAAGCAGCTGGTACAAACCACTGTCACCAGTATACTTTATTCTGATCCGATCCATTCGAAAAATGATGGCGGACACGACAGACACACACAAGGTGCACAACAGCAAATCAATGACGGTATACACATACTGGAGTCCACAGGTCACCACAGCTTGCCGCTCAGTATTTTACGCACGCAGTTATGCAACTTCCTCCTATATATACTCGCGTTTATTTTTAGCTATACTTTCCCAAACGTTATACAGCCGGAAGAGGACACAATTCTCATATACAGCAAATCAGAATCCCAGAAAAATCATTCAGATAATGGACCACCGCAATCCCATTCACAGGAAGCCTATAAAAAGAGGAAGATACTTTTTAGATCGACAGAAATGGTAAACCCATAGAAAACATCACCATAGCTATTTTGCACAAACGATGGAATGAAACCAACCATGCCTATAAGAAAGATACTTATTCTCAAACGAGCAAGTGGATTGATTAAACCGTAGATAAACTACTATGTAGGTCGCCATACTAACAGCAGAAGCAGGGAATCAATATATATAGAGACCGGAGTACTTGAAACGTACTAAGAAAAAAGGTAAACCCATACTAGAGTCGAAAAATTTGTCTACCGGAACAATTTTCCCATGCCCATGGAAAGAGTTATTCGCCAACCACAAGAGAAATCGGATGAAATTGATTAGTGGCTGCAGAGAAGCTGAGCAATTACGGCAATCGACAATCAACGGCAACTACAGAGCCTTTATTTTGCATAGTGCAACTACAGAGCCTTTAGTTAGCATTGTGCAACGACAATCAACTACCAAACCATACATCAATGATGGCATCTCAAAACATAGTGCGAAGCAGATCGTTTTTTTTAACTGCAGAAGTTATACCCATTAGTTTGCATGTCACAAAATACATAATAAGGAATGCCATACGATGAAGTAAAAATACCACATACTAGAATCAAGTATTGGTTTCTGAGGTTCCTAGCAAATTACCGCGGGCAATGAAAGCATATACGACGACCTGCTGCAGCTGGGGCCTGTGTCCCCAAAGAATGAAAGGTTCTGTGCATACAATTACTTGTATAAAACGTGTCCCTACCATGCAAGGGAAACTGACTGCAAACCCCAACAGCAGCTCTGCATTCCCCAGATGCCCGTGGCAAGCGCCCTAATGCCACCCAATTGGTCCACCCCCAACATGGATGCATAGGGTCTTGCAGCTGTTAACCCTCCCCCTCCCTCCAGGCATGTGGAAAGCACGCCAGTTCACCTAACACATGTAACGTACCTTGCACCTCTCCACAGCTTCACTCCTCAACACTCCCTATTGCCTGGTGCTAGTAAACATAGCGGCCCCCAAGCATCAATGCTCTCCCTTTTACCCCCTCCACGTCCACCTCAAGCACCCCACGGCCCCCATTGCCACTCCCTCCGCCGATGCGCATGGCAAGCACATTGGAACCGCATCAAAATTCTTTATTGCGACCATCATGCAAATAAAGCACATCGTGAACCCATGGATGATCCCCTCCCTGCTACCAAGCATGTGAAACATCTCTTGTGAATGCATCCCAGCTGTGTGAGTGCGACCAATTACCACTAGGCCATAGGTACTTGTGTGCATGTCTGTGTTGTGCATTTAGAGCAAACGGAGGTAGAGAACAAGAGAGATCGCAATAGACATGAGCTCTCAGTCATAGAAAGGTACTTCACATACTGGGCAAGTCATCACTGGCACACCTGCCCCTCCTCATTCCCTGTTTTCCGCATTTCATAGTGCGACCGATTACCACTAGGCCATAGAAGATTGCGGTCCATAGTTGGCAGAGCAGAAATTATACGACCCAAATGAAAAGTGAATACGCAATCCATCCTGTGTAGTCGTTTTTTTTTTAACATAATGCGCACGTGGACGCGAGTCTTGTGTAGAGAAACGCGGAGGGAGATATCAAGCATAAAAGCTGTGGGCCGCGGAAAGACAAACAACAGAGAGCGAAAAAAGTTATCAGAGAAAAGGATTGGGGATTCTGGTCTCCATCCATTGTCAAACGGTAGCTTCACGAGTCCACTCCACAGACCTCACACGCCTACTTCGTGACAGGGTGGAAAAGAACGAGGTAGGGATCACATCCATGACCCTCTGCTTTGCCTCCCTGCTCAACCCCATTACCTGGTTGTGTTCCTCGAACACACTAGATTTGTCCGCATGTGGTTGTTAACCGGGGGTAATATTTTCAGCGACTTTTGCACTGAAACTGTCATATTGAGCTGATCATTTGCGTTTTTCTTGTTTTTCTTTTTGTGCCATATGTATGTGCTTTAGGGTATGTCATCTGTCCAGTTTTGACCTGTTTGGACCAATAATGAAAAACTAAAATATCGTTGAATTAGTTGTGTTTTTGTGCTAGTATTTTTTTATTTTTTTGGTTTCTTTCGTCTGTTTTGATTTTTTTATGTTTGCATTACGGGCCCAAAGCTTTTGCTTCTGAAATTTTCGCTGAATTTTGCACCGAAATTGCCAGCAAAACCCGCAAATTTTTGGGCCTCCGTTAACCATCTCTCGATTTGTCTTCTCTTTTATTTTTTTTAATCATTTTTCCCAATTTGGATGCTACTCCGTCCAGATTTGGATGCTAGTCCGCAGAGTCAAGGAAATTTATCACTCCACAACTGCACAAGTACCACATATTCTCTTAACTAGCGAATCACATTCTCGCTAATGCAGTCTGCCTTCCCTGGAGAAGGCAAAGGAAACCCTTTAAAGCCAGCCATGTTCAAGCACCGCTCGGCGGACACTCACGCTCTGGGATGGAAGTCTCTGCTCATCCTTCAGGATTTACGTGTCGTCTGACACTCACGCTCTGGGATGGAAGCCTCTGCTCATCCTTCAGGATTAACGTGTCCTCTGTATTCGTGTTCGCGTGTTGTTTGACGGGGGTCAGGCGGGGTGCATGGAAGGGGGGGGAAAGAAAAGCAGGTGGTCCTAACCAAATCCTTCTATTCGAGGTATTGGCTGGAAGTCCGCAACAGTCACAATTGGAATTGAAACCTCATTCTATCATGCCACAGAACACAGACCCTTACAACCACAGCTTCACCCTAAGACGCAAGTCCGCCAGGCATACTTGCCACAGCACTTTCCCCAAAATTCACCTGACTGCGACTACGGCCATATTCGTTGTGAAAGATCGCTCCGGTCATATTCATATTCATTGTAAGAGATCTCCTGTGCTTATCAGGCAAACACACAACCTCTAAACGAAATGGACAACTGAAAAGAAAAAACAAGTATGATAGCATTCGGTTATGTGCTAAAAATAGCAGTCGTAAACACAAACACGTCTCAACCAAAGCGAAGATTCGCATATAGCGTCAGCAAAACAGTCAGCAAAGACTAATATGGATACAAAATATTTTATCGTGTACTTGTGACTCGTTACGTTCGTCATGTTGAGAGGATCAGATCCTTGTCGCCGTTTAAACAGGTGTATATCCTCCACTTTTCGCATGTAGAACATAGCATCGCCACTTTGCAGAGCCCCAGAATATTCCAACATACAGGCAGACTCCCAGAATATTTCAACATATTTATATCGAAAGCCACGTCTTCCTCGAAAGACATTCCGGACCGTGTGCTTCTCTCTCTCTCTCGCTCGCTCGCTCGCTCTCGCGCACACACACGGGAGTACAATCGAGTACCACAAGTACCCACATTCCCCTTAAGGACAAGGACGGTTGTGGTACTCACATTCCCCTTTAAAGCACGGACGGTAAAAACAAGTCAAGCCAAGCCCTCTCTCAATGCGTACAGCAAGAAGTGAAGAAGTATTACTTCGGGTCCAATGAACTACCTAGTGTACAACTGGTTCAGACAAGCAGTCGTCAAAACCTTATGGCGCAAGAGAACTAGTTGTCGGCCACCGAGCGGTCGTTAATGGAAGCCTTCTCTCAAAAGCGGAAGACTCCGCCCGAGGTTAAACAACAAGTTCGCAGCAGCACTTACTGGTTTCACTACGCACTAGGGGGTAGGGGAGCTTGTTCGGACGCCTATTAAATCTGACACTCACGGGGTGGATCTGGACACGGAGCAGCTGAATATAATGACGGAAAAATGGAGAAGCCCCCGATATTTTTGGTAATAATCGCTCCTTACTCGGTGAACTCCTTGCGAAGCCATTTATTTCGACATACCATCTTCACCCGAATAGAACGCCCGGTCATTATCACTGTAGCTAGACTGAAAGTCGCACGAAATACAGATATCATGACCGGGCGTTCTATTCGTGCGAAGACGGTATACGGGGACAGCAGAGCAAACTCCTAACCTCGCTGCCAAACCCGAAGTACGAGGACGAATCCAAAGCAGCTTCCATTCGCGTACGAATCCGCACCACCTGCCCTCTTTCCGGGACCGCCGCCATGTGCCGGCATTTCCGGGATGCCGGAAGCGACGGAGGCGGGTTTAGTGGTCACGGAGGCGTATCCTGTGATGCGATGTGAGGAGCGAGGAGAAAGAAACCCCGTGAGGAGGATCACCTGGCAGTGATCGAAAACACTCGG